AACCTCTCATTACAACCAGTGTAATTAGAACGCCTCCTCTGAATAAAAAGCATGTTGAACTTCGAAGCAGGTGTGATTATAGAAAAAATAAACTGAATTGAATGTTCTATAGCAATAAAAACCAAACCAGGTGTCAAACCTGTGAGCTAAAGATAAGAATCAATAGGTACAATTTGAACATTTCTGCAAAATCAGACCTAACAGATTATAAAATGTTACAGTACTTGATCATAAAATCAAAATTTTGGAATTCTACCAAAATCTGAAAAAGCAATTCCATGGTCAAGACTAGATTCACCCTGCAGGTGAAACTGTAGTATGTTAGAGGCAGGTGATACACATATTTTAAGGAAATGCAATAAATCAACACAATTGTAAATTTTTTAAAATCAATTTTTTATGTCTTATAGGTACATGTCTCACACACACACACAAATATATATATATATATATATATATATATATATATATATATATATATATATATATATATATATATATATATATATATATATACTAGACCTGTAGATACAGATTATAGAAAAAATCCAAATTATAGAAAAGATGACACACTAAGGCTTCAGAAAGCTCACTACAATGATGTTCAAAATGGACAGAAAAAGCAACAAAAAGCTCAAGATAGATTTAAATGAAGAGAAGATCATAGATTTTTTGCTTAAATTGTAACTCTGCAATTCTCAACATTTTTTTTAATGTTTTTTGTAGTTGTGTCAATATGTTCTAACTGATAAATATCAGCACTAATATATATAAAAAGACTGAAGACTTTCATTGATCCATCCAGCTTCTAACAAATTAGCCCATTACTTTCTAGCGAAAATAATTATTTAATTCCATCTTCTTACATTCCAGTTTCAACTTAAGGGGAAACCTTTAGGACTAAGTTCAAACAGTGACTAGTGTTAGATCCCTATTTTTGTCTGGCCATCCATCACCCTCTGCATAAATAATTTGTTACATACTGTTCCGAACATTAAGAGTTCACCTTCAAACTCAGATCCAGTCCCTAATCTTGGAAATGTTGTCTACTTGAGCTAATGTGTGATTTCAGATGAGGTGAGACGAAACTGAAGAGTGACTTTTATTCGAGAGGTTGAGTAATTTTCTTTTTTTTCTTTGGACTTCTATTTCATTTTTATCATATCATATATCATATGCAAGCTCAAAAATATTACCTTGAAAAGAAGTACTAAAATTCCTTGCAGTAAATTTTGTTGGCTAGTATTATTTTAGGGTTTAGGGATGGTTCCTTAGTAAATCACATCAACAGAGTTGTAAGGGATGAACCTGTTTAAAACTAATAAATATGGTAGAAGCCTTATTGGACATGCGGTGTTTGTAAAAAAAAAAAAAAAAAGAAGAAAGAAAAAAACTAAGAGGAGCAAGGAATTATGTGCATAAAAAAATTCATTAATTATTGTCTTTTCTCTGTGATTTATGCCTTATATCTTTATAAAATTTTCACCATTATTTTTATTATACTTTTTAAGCTTAAACCTTTCAGTTTGACCATATTGTCTGTTTTTACCGTATTATTAGATTTCCTATCAAACATTTTTATTTAAAGTTTCCCTCCTATATGTTAGCTTCTTTTGACAGTAAATTGTAAAAAAAAAAAAAAAAAAAACGTTTTCACTCTTCGTCAATCAATAGATGAAAAGTAGGTACAATTCTTCAGGTCCTTATCTGGTTGTAGATTTTTTTTTAACTCTAACAAATAGTGATTCTTGATCAGATGCAAAACAATTAGTTAAGCCGAGGCAAGTTTATTTATATTGCACAATTTATTACAAAGACAATACAAAGTGGTTTACATTAATAAAGCAAAACAGAAGGAAAATAAAAGCCAAATAAAAGCAAGTTAAGATAAAAACATAATGAAAGCAAGTAGTTAAGCAAATAAAACAGTAAATAAATCCTCTGTGCTGCAGAACAAGAACAAATAATCACCATCATGCATCATAGTCAAGGGCTGGTGCTAATGTCTGTATAGTTTTCATGAAAATGTCCATGTTTATTTACATCTCTTGGATGATGATAAGCCTTTTCTATTCCTTTTAGAGAATAAAGTTATATCTTTGGTTAACCCCTTTAAAATATGCATTGCTTTTTGTGAGGGAAGTCCGGCCTGTAACTCTGGCATGAACCTTTTGTGTTTTTTCAATTCAATTCAATTCAATTCAGTTTATTTCTATAGCACCAATTCACAACACATGTCATCTCAACACACTTTACAGTTCACCAGATCATACAGTGAAATTGATTCAAAGTTTTCTATCTAAGGAAAACCAGTTGATTGCATCGACTCAGCGACAGTGGAGAGGAAAAACTCCATTTTAACAGGAAGAAACCTTCAACAGAACCAGACTTAGTGTGAGCGGCCATCTGCCGAGGCCGACTGCGGTTCAAGGAGACAGAAGCAGAGATACAAAAAGCAACTGTAAAAGGCGGCCCCGTCCAGGAAACACACAGCCAGGCAGACGAGCTCTGAGCCAGCTCCCATGTCAGAGGATGAAGAGAGCACATCCAGCGAGTCACAGTCAGAGAAACAGGACTACACTGGAAAACAGGCTGATCTCCAACTTCTATAAACAAAGGTGTTGACGGCAGCAGCACAGCTGATATTTCTCTCCAGGATGGTGTCACAGCCAAACAGGAACAGACGAGGCAAAGCTACTATGAGAAAAAGCAGAGAGAGCATAACATTAGAGATTAGAGAATAGATTCTGCAGAATGGGAGAATGGAGATAGAATGAAGCAGAGTGGTGAAAAGGGGTCCCTATGTCCTCCAGCAGTCTAAACCTATAGCAGCATAACTATAGAGATAGCTCAGGATAACCTGAGCCACTCTAACTATAAGCTTTATCAAAAAGCAAAGTTTTAAGCCTAGTCTTAAAAGTAGACAGGGTGTCTGCCTCACGGACTAAAATTGGTAGTTGGTTCCACAGGAGAGGAGCCTGATAACTAAAATATCTGCCTCCCATTCTACTTTTAGAAATTCTAGGAACCACTAGTAAACCTGCAGATTGAGAGTGAAGTGCTCTGTTAGGAAAATAAAGGAACAATCATATCTGTGATACCAGATGGATCTTGGCCATTTAAGGCTTTATATGTGAGACGGAGGATTTTAAATTCTATTCTGGATTGAACAGGAAGCCAATGAACCCATTTGAATGAATTGAATTGAATGATTTTTCTACTTTATTTTTTGACATGTTCATTTTAAGATGTTCTACAGCTGATTAAAAAAAAGAAGAGCGACAGAATAAAATTACATTTCAAACTCAGCCCACTGACAAGTCTTTCTATTTTCAGAAGATTCTGAGGGCACCCCATGTGGTCCTTGAGGGCCACTTGGTACTTGGGCACAACGTTGGTGACCCCTGCTCTAAACCTCGTTTGACAAAGAGATGACCTTGCTCCACAAAATATTGTCAAGTGTCTTAAACACAACTTTGAAAACATGTATTAGGTTTAATTTACTTTAGAATGATGACTATTTTAAAGCATGGCATAAAGCTTTATAAACCCTGCTTTGCATTTTTCCAAGCTATATTCTTGATCTATTTGCTGTTTTTTATTCCTCATGATCGTATCTATTAACTCATGTTCTCCAACAAACATAGTCCCTCAAAGAACAACTTTATGTATACATATATTTTTTTAGCACGCTGGTAAACTTTGCACAGTACATTTTAAATAAATCAAGCGCAGTACATTTTAAATAAATTAAAATAAAAAGGGTGTAAAAATATGTGCATCCCGTGTTTTTTTTAGATTTAGAATAGGCAAAAAAAAGCTTTATTTAACTTCTTAGTTAAAATTCAAACAAAAATCATTGACTTGTGTAGAAAAATTCATGACGTATGAAAAATTCTCCATAGTCTGTACAGCTAAAAGCACAGTACTAGCAGGATATTATAGTAACACCATTCTATATATTTTCTGAGAAAACCAGTACATTAAATGAAAGCTTTTTGAATCCAGTGTTCTTTTCTCTGTCTGAATATTACAGTTGGCCATATAAGGAGCTGAGGTGTTGCCCTGCACCTTCATGGTAGACACAGAGGTCCAATAAGCCTTTTTCTATCAATCTCTGAATTCCACTTACTGCCTCTTTGGGTCCTGTAATCATTGCATAATGCATATTCTACATATTCTACATGTCAGCCTCACATTGCTGGTGAAATCCCTCAATTTATGGACCAGCTCAAGAGGATTCACCCATTGAGGAATTTCTGCAGCACCAGGTCATTATCTAATAATAAAACTCTGGTTCCTTTTTTTTTTTTTTAAAGCCGTCGTTGGAGCTCTTGATGTTCTTTCTTCTGACCCCTTGGATTTAACATGTAGACTGATGTTAGAGGCAAAAAAACAGACTCTAACAGGGGCCAATGTAATTCCACAATAATTCAGCAGGGCTTTTAGAAACATATTTATGTTTTTGCATTTCCTATATCCATATATTTTTTTTTTGTCTCTAAGATATTTAATTCATGAGGATGTCTGTCTGGCTTTGAACCATATTTATCCTTTGATTCATTTGTTGTACATATATCTGGTAACTTTACTGTCCAAAATATCTTCCAAAAACCATGAACCTTTGGGAGACCATGCTGTTTGCTAGTGGCCAGCTTCCTCTGGAAAAACACCTGTGGGGAAACTCTACAGGATAAACCAGTGATTTACACCAATGCATAATCCCAACAGGACAAATTCTGGGTCAAGCGCCCGCCTGCCCTCCTACGCTCCCCTTCAGTCTCAGGTGAGCAAGAAAGTCAGCTGGCAAGTAACGGGTTAGTGTCTGATCTCTCCCCTACACCTCCTTGTTTCAACCCTTCACCCCCCCTTCATCTTAGAGGGATATATATTGGAGGTCGTGACTCGTCTTCATCTGAGGAATCACTTCTAGACGGACATACACAGACGTCTCTGGTTCATTTTGAGGGATCTGACTGACGAAGAGCAGAATACTAATCATGACAACTTTTTTAAAAGTTCTTGTGCTTCTCTTCTGCATCGCCAAGGGAGAAGGCCACTGGCTGAGGTCACTGATAGGTAAGTAGTGATGGTGTGAACAATTGCTTTAAGTTTCACTGAAACAAGTAGAGAAATTGCTTATCAGATTTATCAATATGTCTGTCCTTCTTTTGCAGGCCAGAAGCAGAAAACTCTATTGTCTGCAGATGAAGAGAGAAGAAGCAGATCTTTAACTGTAGAAATCCAAACGGAAGCATCTGGAGCTGAGCCATCTCTCATCCCCATCGTCTCAGTCCCAGTCCGGACACGACGCTCAGCTCCTGACTCCCAGTGCAGCCTGCGCTCCATCTTGCTGCAGGTTCGAGACTTGGGCTTAGGCTACAACTCAGATGAGACGGTCTTATTTAAGTACTGCAGCGGGACCTGTCCCCGCGCTCGCTCCAACCATGACCTCACACTCAGCAACCTGCTGCTCAGCGGACTGCTCCCACATCCCACTCCTGGGGAGCTGTGGCACAACACACCATGCTGCAGGCCCACCCATTACGAGGACATCGCCTTTCTCGATAACTCCCACCGCTGGCACAAAGTGGAGAAGCTGTCTGCTGCAGGCTGCAGCTGTGTAGATTGAACAGTTGGACTAATAGGGTGGGTGAGAGTTCTAAAGATATTTGCTGAGACACAATTGTGTCTCAGTAAACAAATTTATTTCCTAGAAGAAAAAACAAAAACAATTTTTGCAGTGAAAACCCTCAAAATTTAATTTCTATTGTTTATGTTTTAGGACTCACATTTCTGTGTTTGCATTGAGCTTTAGTAAAAGACAAGGAAATTACATTTTTACAGGCAGCATTGCTTTGTGAGTTCATGTTATTCAGAATTAGGACTCAACAACATTCAGGGTAAAACTGAACAAATGTTTTAACTTGAATTACAACAGATTTGTAAATAAGCTAATATGTATTTATTTCAAACCTAAAAAAAACTGTTATTAACAAAATAACTATAAAGCCTTTAAGATGTGTGTTTTGAAAACAATGAATTAAGGTCTTGAATAGTTCAGATACTTAAAAAGTGTATATATATATGTAAAAACAAAAGCTATTTATTTATTTAATGTGTTTTTTTTACTTGAAGATTAATTTATTTGTTGATGTATTCATTTCTATGTAAATTCTATAAAAAAATGACCTTTTAATTTCTTTTTTTGCCTTATTTTAAAATGCATTAAACATAATGTGTTTCAATCAGTGTGATGTGTTTTCTATCAAGCTTAAACCATTAGATTGGATTTCTCATAAATGTATAGATCAATGAATAGATGGATAGATCGATCCAAGGTATATAGTTAAAAATTGGTCAGCCAATCTGAGTAAATATAAGTTTCCGTTTAGATTGAGCTCTGAACCACAGTCTGCCATTTGCTTTATTTATTTCTGCCCAAAAAACAAAAACTGTGAAATTGAGTTTTTTTCCTTTTGGTCAATATCATCATAATCAAATGATTTTTAATTTGTCTGGCAGGATTAAGGATATATCACTTCCAGATTAATATATTGTTCATTATGTCCTGAAGCAAAGCCCTGTGCTTGCATGAAGATGTGTTTAAAAAAAAAGAAAAGAAAAAAAATACAGATCACAGCCAACAGGAACTTCAATATCTCAAGATAAAATATTTAATTTCTTTTACAGCAAGACGTCACATTTTTAACAGAAAGGAATTTTGCCTGCAAAGGCTTCCAGTGAATTCCATTCATAATTTCTAACTGGCCTGGATGTCTTCCTCTGCCTCCTCTGGTTGTACCCCCCACACCTGAACCCGGCCCTCCATTGCAGTGAGGAGGCGGGTCTCTGTGGGGTGGAAAGACAGCGACTGGACGACTGCTTTTCCCACCGGCAACTTTAATGATAAAGATCCCTGCAATTCATTCAGACAGAAATGATGTGGTCAGATTTCTGCTTTGAGGTTGAGAGACTCTTACAGGTCACATGCACTTTTAAAGTGTTACTGGATTTTACAATTACGCAATTCACATGCAATTATATCCCTAAATCTAGATATACAGGATGACAGTAAGGCTATGTAGCACTGTGGAGGGTTGTAATAGACAGGTACTTACTTCCACCAGGTCCCAGCAATACACGTGTCCGTCCTCTGAGCAGCTCAGGACATGGGTGTCCTTACTGGACAGACAGCAGTCTAACTTGTAGCCCTTCATCTTGTGTCCAGTATATCTAATGGAAAAAACAGAAGATAGTGAAAAAAGTGTAGAAAAGCAAAACATGCTTTTTAAATTACTGATCAAATTATTCTTGATCTGGCTTGTTGTATTTTTTTTCAGAATCACTTCTTAGGATTTTCTATTCTGCTCCAAAAATGCTGTTTTAGCACAATAGTAATTCTGGAGGCCCTTTCCAGGCCTGGCACACTGTGACAGATGGTGACTTTTTTATTTCTTTTATTTAGTCTGATTGTAAATGAGCCCTGACTGGATCTTAAAAAGCTGTTAACTATGCCAGAGTAAAATGTGAAAATTAATTTTCATGAAACTAGGCTTAAAGAAAATATGTCAATAAAATACCTTTTTTTATGATAAGTTATTACCAGCAGTTTTATCTGCAAGGTGTCTCAGTAAAACGGATTTCTAACATACTAGCTTTAGGAAGATGATGCACATAGAATAAAGCCAGAGATTTGCATAATCAGACTTGAGTAGACTCTGGGATATTTTTTGGTTTGCTTTACAGTCTGACCAGTAAGTTCTTACTTTCATTTGTAACGAGTATAACATACGCACTTCTGATACAGCTGACAGGAACACAGACAATAAGGTCTTTCAAAAAATAATTTCTTCTTGGTTTGAAGGTTTTACAACAGACCTCTTAACCTTAGTTTTAAATGTTCATTTAATGTTGGTTATTGTGTTTATATGTTGACCAATGTTCATTCTGTAGTACTTTGAGATGTGCACAGGGCTTAAACAGAAATGAGCAACTCTAATTTAATGCTTTTAATGCTCTTAGAAATAACTTAAATGCCATCAACAAGTATCCATGACTCTCATATATACACAGCAAATTCCTTCTTCATCTTTACCGTTGGCAGGCTGCCATTCTCTAGCTTTTCTCCGCCTTGACCTTCTTTTCAGAACATACGGCTTTACGATCAACCGGAAGCAGTTCCGCGCAAATATGCAAATAGATATATATATATATATATATATATATATATATATCTCGTTTAATAAATTGTTTTTATAAACATTTTTTCTAAATAAAGCATTTTAAATGCCAAAATAATCACATTAAATTTATTTTAATGCCAATTTAATTTAAAAAATATATATTTATTGACTTTTAATGATTTTAAATGACCCACGAGGAACCCTGTGTGCATGTAAAGTGCTTCATAAATTAAATGTACTATTACCATCATTGAATGTATGTCTGTGTGAAGTTGCTTTTAATTCAAAAGTTTGTGTCTTTATAACATATATGTTTTAAGTTTATATTAGATGAACAATGCTTTTTGTTTTCCTGATAGCTAACGTTAAGTCAGGGGTGAGAACAAAAAGATCTAAACTGACTCTCCAAGCATTTCTCCGGTGCTCTTGTCCAAAAGTCGAACTGTTGAATCTAAACTGGAGCTCAGGGTGCACTGCCCGTCCTGACTGAAGCACACACATGTAATGGGACCTGGAACAGAAGAGTATTCAGAGTTTACCGACTTCTGGAAAAGAAAACAATTATTGATATAACAATATGCAATATGTTTTGTTTTCATTGCTCCTGCTCTGTAAAAGTGTAACTGAAATGAATTTACTAACTGCTGATGAAGTCAACGTGAAGCTGTCCCATCCTGAGGTCATAACGCCTCACTCTGCCATCCACCGACCTACGCAGAAGATGTAGGTTATAAAAATTACATTGTCAGTAATTCAAAGTCATAATTATACTAAGACTCTACAGGGAGCTATTTTTTGTGTGCAATAAACGTATTCATTTCATATTCATTTTTGATATGCTGACCCAGTGAGTAGCTCATGTTGTGAAACTTTAAGGCTACTAATGCTGTCGCGTGCCTCATCTAGAACCTGGATGGGCTCATTTTTTCTGGATCTGGTGTCCCAGCATCTCACCGTCCCATCTATGGAGCCTGGATGATGAAATAAAAAAGGCAGAGTACATTAAGCTGAAATAAAAAAAAAAACAAAGTACAGTAGAAAACACGAAACATGAAAAAAGGTACTGAAAGAATACAATCTCCATCGTCAAAGTTAAAGGTTTAAAAATTAAGGAAATTCACATACTGAGAAAATTACATAAAAAATCTAATTGCATAAATGGCCCATTAACTCTATCAGTGTATCATCAATGAAAACACATTCCTCTCCTTACCTATAAATCTTCAGTAACCTTGCATCACCTCCATATATTAATGGTCTTCTCCATCCCTTCATGTTCTCTTCATTCCTCACACTTCATGCTCCTAAATATACATCCTGCCCATCTAATCACTACAGAGTCGAGAGTAGTTTAAACTCTCGACATTCAGAGCATTACAGCACTCCTCCTTTCTGCAATTGTTTCCTAATGTTTATCATTTTTAATTTTGCACTTTTTAAACCTCATCTAAAATCAAATCTGTTTAGAAAAGCGTTTAGTACTCAACCTACCTTGATTTATAGGGAAGCTAACTTGTTAACCTGATTTTTAGTTTCTATACTGTTTTTAATGATGTATTATTGACTTTTGCTGCCATTTTTATTGTTGTTTTATTGTATAATTTCTTTAAGCACCTCATAATAAAATGTATCATTACTAAGTACAACCTTTAATCTGTATCCCAAAAATACAAAAAAAAAAAAAAAAAGGCAACACTCCAGAGTACATAAATGTGGTGGACATTTTCCACAAACCAAATCTCACCTGATAATATGACCGTTGCCTCCTCATTAAACTGCACACAGTTAACTTTCTGTAAAAAGACAATTTTACCAAGAAATGAGGAAAATCTATCACAGGATAGATTTAAACACAAAGATAAAAGGAGCAGAACTCACCCCAGCATGTCCTCTGAGCTTGCGTGTGACTTGGCCGGACGCAACATCCCACAGGATCACTGTTTTATCAGAACTACAGGAGCAAAGCTGACTGTTGTCATAGGAACTGTCGAAAAAGAAAATAAAGAAAATAGCTGTTAGTGCCAGCAGAGGCAGAGGCTTATGTTGAGTGTTGGATGTTTTGCTTGTTGATTAAATTGGATAGTTAGTTAAAGAACGCTGCCAGCTGGATCTTTGGCTGGATGTTTTCTGCTTTGCCATGTGTTCTTTAATTCATTCTCTATATTTTCTGAATCCCTACCGTTTCCATCGTGTGTATAAACCCTCCTCACCTATCAGCATCCAGAACCTCATATCCATGCCCACTGTACGTCTTCAGCAACGTCCCTCGGCCAACACTCCATAACTTTAGAGATTTGTCACTGCCACAGGACATCAGGTAGTTTCCATCAACTGACCAAAGGGACAAGATGCAGATAATGATGGTATGGCTTTAGTTGGACAACTTATTGTAGAGTTAACCTTTTATAGGGCACTCAGTGAAATACTTTGAAAATCATAATTTCAAGCCAATAGTGTTACTGGAATCCAGGACCTTATTACTTTTGTAAAATTTAAATTATATTGATATTTTGATGGTAAAAATGTATGTCAATGAAATAAAAAGAAACGGCAACTTGTGTGAATATATTAAGAAGAATAACAAAAGTGCTTCTGCAAGAAATTCATGAAAAACACTCTGAGAGTGAAAGAAACATTTTTTTTGGTACAACATAACCTTAGAAGCATTAATGTTGATACTGGCACTTAGATTTTTTTAGTTTACAAACCTCCATTTGTAAGGGGTATGCAAGTGATCAAAAAAAGGTAACTTGCACTATAAAGGTTTAAATAAAATAAATTGGATCCTAAAAATGACAAAGTCTAGCTGATCATTTCAAGTTAAAGTCATGTCATTATAATGTAAACTGACAACTGACATCTTGGATTTCAAGCAAGTATCATGCAATTGCATGAATTCTGAATATAGGTCATATTAATTTCAATGTAATTCGAAACTAAATTCCCTTTTAGTGTTTCTATTGCATATATATAATGATCCAAAGTATATGGCAGTGGTACTGTTATGTCGATCCAACACTGAATTATTGGGATTCCTGCTGTTTTTTGGGTTTGTAATACAATCTGAGGTGAAATACAGTTAAAACAGTGGGGGGAAAAAAGAAAGATCTCTTAAAACAATGACAGTTTGGGATTATGAAGCCTACCATTGAAGCGGACGGCTCTGACTGCTCCCTGCTTACAGTCAATGGTCTTCAGAAGATGCTGAGGAAGCTGAGGAGGCTCAGGTTTGGGTTGAGGAAACGCCATAGCCGACAGGAACTGAGAGGTGAAGTAAACAGACCAAAAATGCACCATGTTCACATTATCATTATACCTCAATAACATCAAACTATATTGGAATGGGTTTTCCCATCTTTATGACACATTAGAGAAGATTTAGACCCTTTTACTTTTTATCCTTTTTAAACTTATTATATTTTATCATAAAAAAACTGAAATGTTAACTGTAAATTTACAGTCATGTGTTTATATTACTGTTTTTATATATGTTTTACTATTTTTCAAGGCTGCACTATAAACAAAATGAAATTGAGTACAAAATAACAAATACATCTGTCTACGTTTTATGAAAACGTTTGCAATTTACAGAAAATTTTTTAATGAAGATGATATTAAACGAAATAAAAGTAATCTGTAGGTTAACCAAAAGTAAATGGACACTTTGAACACCTTAGCTCCTTAATTTTACCCAACGTTTTACCTAAAAAAAAAAAAACAGTTGTATGCTTACCTATTTGAACTTATTTTTAGACAAATAAATTTTCAGTGAGGGGCATGTTCACAGTTCTCTAATCTTATCCACAGTTTGGTACATATATAAGGTCATTTTTTTTCTCCCCCACATCTCATTTGCCGTGTTTGTTAGCATTAGCAGCTAGTAAGCGGACGTGAATCATATTGAGGTTAAATAATCATATCAAAATAAAAGAAAAAACTTTCCACGTTATTGAACGCCCAAGCTTTAAAGGGTAAAAAGCTTTTATTTTTAAAGTAACCGGAAGTACTTAGCGGACTTTCTTTCCTCTACTGAAAAGTCAATCAGCTGTGGGTCGGTCAGCGGAGTTTTAAATATTCGTTTCCTTACCTCCATATTGGATAAAGTTATATCCAAACATGTCCACCAACAGTATGGCTGACCCAAGGAGACAAAATAAGATTTTAAGGTGAGTTTTGTCAAAATAAAGCGAGCTGAACCGATTGCTAAGCAACAGCTGGCTAATGCTAACCCTGTCATTCATCGTGAGGGTCTTTACACTGGGATTAGAGGCTAGTTACTTCATTAAAGCTGTCACCTATTATAACTGGATAATGTTCTAGTGTTGGAGCTTAAAAGTAAGTGCTATCTTATCTTTTAAAATGCACCCAATCTTTATAATAATGTATCTAGTTAAATTACCTTAGCAATACGACTCAATACATTATTTTATGATAATAATATACTTGGTATTCTAATATCCTGGAGCTGATCAAATCTAATACACATCTATAAATTAGAATGACACAAAAACGGTGTTCATGATCACAGCAGATATTTATATGATAAAATATGCTATTTGATTTAAAGATTTGTGTTTTTTCTTATGTTATATTTCTTTTGCTAATTAGTCTATTTTAACTTTTGGATTTTTGTTCTTTTCTTTAAATAGAGTCTATAAATAAAATATATATAATGTTTTAACAAAAAAGCAAATTGTTTATTTAATAGACAATTTGCTTTTTTGTTAAAACATTATATATATATTTTTTCCTCTGTGTGACAGTAAAGGACATTTCTGTTATACCTGTAGTACTATTCTCTATTCTGTTTCCCTTTTTCCCCTCCTGTTGGTTGATATAAAGGTTTTTTGGGTTGCAGGTACAAGCCCCCCAGCACAGAGACCAACCCCACACTAGAGGACCCCACTCCTGACTACATGAACCTGCTCGGCATGATCTTCAGCATGTGTGGTCTCATGCTTAAGGTTAAAAAAATCAATGCACATCTACACAACCAGAAATACACTAAGCAGAGTTTTGTGACTGGTTTCTGATTTCACATTTTAAGAAGCGGGCATTTTATCCCTTTATAGGGCAAGTTACCCATCACATTCATACCCCTTGCAAATGAAGCACAAGATTTATATCCAGCCATTTAGCAAAGACACTTCTATGGGGTGGTACATGTTATTTTGGCATTTGACAAGTGGTGGATGAAGTACTCAGCAGTAGTATTTGAGTAGAAGTATTGATACTCGTAGTCAAATCTTACTCAACTACAAGCAAAAGTTACTCAGTGAAACATCTTTCTCAAGTTAAAGTATTCACTTTTTGAAAATACTTAAGTATTCAAAAGTACATGCATTTTAAAACACCTAAACATTCAAAAATACAAATAAAATTTTCTAATACCGGTACATTTCTGTATAATATTTGGAGTAATTTTAGAAACTTTTAACTTTAAGAAACCACCAATGCATTGACCCTTAGAAGCACTGCTACAAATTCTACACCACCTGTAAAGAACCAGCATATAAATTGCTCAAAGAAACAAGGACAGCTATTTTAATTATTATTTCTTATTCAAACAAAACCAAAAAGGAATCTTGGTTCTCCTCACACTTTTACTATGGAATAGAGGTTTAAGGTTGAATCTATTACCAAAAATAAACTACATCTCTGATTTGAGAATTCATCCTACTGAACAACTTGGCAGCATTGGAAACAACTAACGCTTTAATATCATTTATAAAATCCAAATAATATCTGCCCTGAGTTTATCCCATTTGTGGAATGTCATGCAAATCACTAAAACCGTGGTGTCCTAAGGAGTGCAATCTTGTATGTTGAAATGTATTTCAAGAAAGAAAAACAGCAACAACGGATGGAAAAGACTAATCCGACCAAGGAAAGAAATAACTAGCAGCTTCCTAGAAATGTTGTGGAGTAGAAAGGACAATATTTGACTTTAAAATGTAGTGGAGTTGTAGTAGTTGTAGAAGTTGTAAGTACCCCCCATTCAAAATTTACTCAAGTAAAGTAAAGATACCTAAAAATAGTACTTAAGGACAGTAATCAAGTAGATGTACTTTACTTTCCATCACTTGATCATTTATATGAGCCCCTGAATGATATATTACGAACTAGAAATTAAAATGAAAAGAAAAAGTTAACAAGTTAAGTAAAAACTTAAAAAATCTAATTGAAAAGTTAAAAAGTAAAGGTAAAAAGTTAATACGCTAAGATAAAAAAAAGTAATAAATGTAAGGGCCTGTATCAGCAACAATACTCTAAGGTTATGTTGTACCAAAAAAAAAAAAAAAAATCAATGTTCTTTCACTTTGTTTTTCATGAATTTCTTATAAAATACTTTTGTTATTTTTCTTTATATATTAGGACAAGTGTCCATTTCTTGTTATTAAGTTGACAACAATTTTTACCATCAAAATATACATATTTTTTCATGATGCAAAACTAATAAGGTTGAAATCAGGTTGAAATTCTGATTTTCAAAGTATTTCACTGAGTATTTCTCTTTGTTGTAAATTTCTTTACATGTATTCACAAATAAGATCTATTTGGCTTTTTATATATTGTGTAAAAATGTATTTGTTGAGACAAATGTGGAACTGAAGTCAAATCCCTTGTTGTATGAAGCAACTTAGTATAAAACATATTCTGATAAGACGCATTTGGTTTTCTCTTTCAAAAACTCAAATAACATTTGAAATATTATTTTCTTTCTATACTGCCACAACAGATCAAAATATTTTGTACAATAATCAATAACTAAAGGCTTTCAAAGTTGGTATATTTAAATATATCTCTATATATCTATTGATATATATGTAAATAAACTGGGATTTGCTCAGATTTATAAAGAAACTCAAACCATTGAGTTTAAAATGACTAGTTTTGAGATTTTAAGCTCTTTAGCAGACTGTATTATCACTGATTCATGTTAACACAAAAAAAGTCGTCATTGTAGATTTTCTACAGATTGTAGACCTTTAGTCTGAGGTTTCCAACAGGCTGCAAACATTCTTTGTCCATAATTATATCCTAACAGAAATCCAGTCATCTGTATTCCCTGCTTTAATTCGCAGAAACTACTTTGTTTGACATCTCTGGTGATCTTTGTAAGGTTTCATCAAACCTAAATCAGTTTTTTTTGCGTTTCAGCTGAAGTGGTGCGCCTGGATCGCAGTCTACTGTTCTTTCATCAGCTTTGCAAACTCCAGAAGTTCAGAAGACACCAAACAAATGATGAGCAGCTTTATGTAAGTTCTCCAACCATAGTTATTTACATTGTGCTGATATATTAAAGAAAAATGCAACCCTTGTTACAGTGCTATCGATAAGAGCTCATCTCATGTAATAAAAGCTTATCCGCTTTTCATGTTTTATCAGTAATCTTTAATTTGGGGAGGGTTTAGTTGTTAGTACAATTTATCCCGTTTCCTAGAAAATGTTCTTAACCAACATCTCATCTGTCTTTGGTGATTCACTTAATAAAGAGGCTGAAAACAGGAGTTTGTCGGATTGCAACCGCTCTGTTCTACAATGTTTGTCTGAAGTTCAGACTATGCCATCTGGCAGCTGCAGTGAGTTTAAACATAGCTTAATGTCATTGACTATATACCGAGTCATTATAATGATGACTATTTTGCTAATCCATTAATCTGTTGATTATTTTCTAGATTAGTTGGTTAATAATTTAAAATCAAAAGGTGAGTTAAATAGGATTTTCTACAGAATTTAAGCCAGGTGAAGCTAAAACTACACTACTTTAAAACGTTAGGCCTGCTTTTGAATATTAAATGCAAAGTTTCTATTTGTTTCTATTTTGTCAATTTTTGGCATAATTACTGCACTGAGTGCACCCCTCTTTAAGGTAATGGCATATCTGTATATTCTGCTGAACAATTAATCTATTACTAAATTGGTTGAAGATTTTTTTAATCCTGATTAATCCAATTTATTGTATCAGTCCTACTACAAACACATGTGAAGTACGCTGATGTTTAATGTGATTTAGGATGTCAAAACCTGATCAGAAAAACAGCAACAAAAAAACAGCAGAGCCCAGTCATAACACGGAGCCTGCTTGAGGTCTACTTCCAATATAAATACTTTGGAGTCCTGAGTTGGACCAGCCCAAAGCCTGTTTTTTATGCGCTTTCGCAGGTTAGTTGCAAGGCTTATTGATAACAATGCACTCTATTCATGATACAGGAGGGCTGCTCACTGGGGCAGTTGGTAAGATGTTGTATTGTATTTATTTCTAAAAGAATAGATATAAGCAGCATAAAGAGAGCCCGTTTCATTTGAGGCAGCTCGGGGATTCCATACAGGTTCTTTTAGTCAGGTTACTGAAACAGTTTTGTTGCAAAATTGCAGCAGTGAGAAGTTGAACCAGTGATGCTCAGTTCTTCCCATTGCATCGCTGTGACATTGATCAGTCTAAACCAGTTTAAAAGCCATGCACCAGCATGTTCCAGCAGGTCGGGTTAAATTTCTGAATATAAACTCCCTCCTCCAGCAGGGCCAACGTTGCAATCCTTACACAAATACACTAGTCTTTACTCAGCTGTTTAGGAACGTGTCTGATTATCCACAAATGTCAGCCTTGTTATTCCTCCTATCTGAGCTTTTTGGAATTAAGTTTTGAAGCCGCCACTTTTTTTGTTTCCCAGTTAGAATGAAAGATGAGATTATATTTCTGCTGGACGTACAAAGCGATGCATGGCCACCTCTAAATGACCATCTTAAGGAATATGTACAGTTTACATCCGTCTAAGTTTATTTATCGTATGAGGCTAAATGCGATCATTCAGATTTAGCTCATCATAGCTCAGCCATATTAAAATATCAGGTTTGATGCTCCATGTGTTAGATTAAACTTTGTGGAGTCATGTTTCAGTGTATTTAAGTGAGTTTTGTAGGTATCGATTGGAACGGTTTACTGTTGCAGCACATTTTCAAAGGTCAAAACTATGCCTAACTACTGCACACCTTCACACTACTTTCAAGTTGTGCTTGAAGTATCGCACCACATTTTTCTTTTTATTGTGGATATGCGCATTTTATACAAAAGGCCCCCATTGAAGTAGCTTGATATAAAAGTAAACATTTTGTTCATAAAGCTGTTAGTGGATGACTGGGTTTGACCGATCCAAACCCACAAACCAGGGAAAGTTGTCCTGTGTTGTTCAAGCCAACAGACAAGCTGTTGTTACTGAAACTTCTGATGAAGCAAATCCTAGTTTCTTAAGGAAATCTGTCAGAATCGTCAGGCCATTGTGATTTGTGTCTTTTGGAGCTGTCAACTAAATACATGTATGAGCAGCAACAAATCAGAACGAAACCACAAGATTCTGGGTGACATTGGCCTGGTCTGATGGTGCAAAGTACCACAGGAGTACTTCAGGGACCCTCTGAATTAGGAGTGTCTTAGTAGCAAAAGAAGAGAAGTAACTAACTAGACTGATGGTCATTTTATTCTTTATCTTTCTATGTCTAAAATTTAGCTGTACAGCATAGTTACTCATTTAAAATGAATTGTTTTGTGTTTTTTAGGCTTTCTATCTCAGCAGTGGTGATGTCTTACCTCCAGAATCCACAGCCGATGTCTCCCCCATGGTAACAAAGGGCCAATCACAGAAGAAAGCAGAAGCTGGAAGTTGTCTCCACCTCCACTTAAAAAATTAGTCATCTGTGAACAACAATCGCAGAAAAGAAAATATGTTGTTTTTCTGTTTTAACCTTGTAAGACTTTCTTTTTTATTTTCTAATGAAATCTTTGGAAGATTACAGATTAGATTGTTGCATCTGCTCTAAATAAACTGTCTGATTATATAAAGAACTACCCTCTTTATATAATCAGTCCACTTGTACCTAATGTTATGTTATGGAAGTTTCAATAAATTTCTGAGCTTTTGTGTGACAAGGTTTTTGGGGAAAAAATGTTCTGCTGCATCTGCATTTTAGTGTCTTTATCCTGTTAATTTTTTCAGAATATTTCTTATCAATTGAAGCCTTTATTTTATCTCCGATTTAGGAAAATGTGACATAAACCCTGGGTTTAATAAAGCAAATCTGTACGTTCAGATACTCCTGAAATATTCTACCTGCTACTCAGAAACCAAAATGAGAAACTTTTATCTGTCCTTCCCTGTTTTCTCATTTGTTGAAGGCCCCGGCTGCATTAGCTGCACGAGTAACTCTGCTGATTGCAGACACGAAACTGGAAGTCAGCTGGATGTGAGACTGATTTAATGCCATATAACTCATGTCCCTCCAGGGCTGGCTCGGCTGCAGCCTTGCCGAGTGGGCACCAGAGTTGCATGGCTTTCTGCCACGTTTCAGCAAGCTCCACTATATTTTCTCCTGACTCAAACTGCTAACGGACTCGTTTGTCTTTCAAACCGTCAAACATCACACCCTTCACCCGTTATGGTGATTTCTGCCTTTCTTTGAGCCAGTGGTGCCTTATTGATGCCTAGCTAAGAAAAGACTATTGAGTGCAGAGAGGAGTTATCTAAGACTTGAATTGGTGGGCTGTGTGTTCTAATATTTAAAGCTGTCATAGGATGCTGAAAGCGGATCTTAATTTTAGTGCTTGATGGACTGAAGGGGATTCTGATAATTATATTCAGCCCAGTGAAAAAGGAAAATGGTACAAGATTTCTGGGCAACAGGCCTCTAGATGTCATCATAGCATCATAAATGAATTAGACCTGAGTTTAAATTCTAACAACTTCATTAGTCCCACTGAGAAATTCATTTGTAGCATTCCAATCTATATATTCATCTTCTAAATGTCAAAATCAATAATTAATCCAAGCAAAATAAAGTTCAGCTTAATGTCACTAAAACATAGAAACTTATAGTTTCTATGTTTTAGTGACATTAAGCTGAACTTTATTTTGCTTGGATTAACAGATATATTATATCTGTTGGGGTAAATAAAAGCTTTAACCAATGAAAAGTAGAGTTCAGATTGTCAGGTTTTCTAACTGGTGTTTGTCCCTTTATCCCACTGGGTTGAAACAAACCTGCAGAAAAAGGAAAAAAAAATCCTACGGTCTTTATAATCAAAACCTTTATAATCGCCCTCCGATTCCCTGTCCCGCACTGCAGAGCTTAAAACCTGCATCAAAGCTTTAGGATAGTGAACCCATTAGGAAAAAAAACAACAACATATTGCATAATTTTAAATCATACAAAAAAAGAAACATGACAATCTTTTTGAACACCTTATGATCTGAATGCTGCTCAGACATCCGGCTGTAGAGGATTTTGGCTCCTGCATACCTCGTTACTTAAATAAATCCATTTTTTTTATCTTTATAGTTGCCTCTTAGCTTTTATCCTAATTAAATTAGCATTTTTCTCTCAGCTTAACTTCAATAGGAACTACTGGAAATGACAAACGCTTTTAGAATAAATAGCTTTTTTCATATCCACTGTCTGAGTCCACAGTAATCAGGAGTCAAATAGGGTAACCGTCGAGTTGAGAGGGAGCAACACAAGGATTGGCTCATCAACCAAACCTTAGCTTATATCTCATGCCCTTCCCAAAATTATAACAGTAGAAAAAAATTTTAAACAATGTTTATTTTAATATCAAATATCAGTGGTACATTTTGGGCAAGTGTTTTTGTGTGCTCAGTAGAACCAGCATTATAGAACCTAGCAGGACTGATACAGATAGGTGCTATTTGACAGATATGCACCTTTGAACATCATCTAGACTCCCTTGGATTTTTTAATTTTTTTGTAACACACAGTTAATCGATAGATTAACACAGAACAGTGCATGTCTATGGATTGGGGGAAAAAAGGAATACAGTTCATTAGGGGACCCTAACCCTTTTTTCCCTTTGGTGTAAATACAGCTTTTCTTTAGAGATTTAAGAGAGTTGTTATAGCCTGGTGGTGCAATAAGAGCATCATTAAGACCAGACAGCTCAACCCAGGCCAGGGATGAAACTGGAGTAGCTAAAGGGATTATAAAGGTAGAAAACAATCTTTCAACATCTCATAAAACAGCACTGTTAGAACTAGTTTCTGAAAATGGAAAATATAAAGAAAAAACTAACACTGTGCATGATTTTATGGGACACGTGGGAAGATGAATAGTGCTTAACACATTTAAGTCATAGAAAAAAAAGACTGGAGCAAAAGTTCACCTTCCAGCACAACAACAATCCTGGACGAAAAGCCAGACCATCTGTTAGAACAGCCTAGTATTATTTATCATTATTTTTTAGTTATTATAAACTTTTTTAGTCATAATAAATTATTTGTCACTATTTATCCTGTATTACGACCCCAATAATATATATGTATATATAATCCACATCCTAACTTTCTTGTATAATCTGTATACAGTTTTCATATTTATTTATTTTGCCTCTTACAATGACTCTTTTTTTATATATACCATTTATGGTTAATACATACAGTACATACTCTTGTGACATGTCAATAAATATTTATATCGTGTATAGCACTTCTGGATAGATTAAAACTACATTTTTTTGCTCTGCACTTGTGACAGTATAATGACAATAAAGTTCTATTCTATTCAAAAACTCATGAAATTCACAGGTGCTTTGCGTCCAATCTAATGTTTTACGGTATTTGATACAAAAAAATGACAAAAGAACTTACTTCTTTAGACGTATAAAGCAGGTTGATAATTTGACCGAAATATGGGTTTACCATTGAGAAGGACCTGCTGCAAATCTATACCTTATATTTGGATCATGCTATTCCAGTTCCCACATTTGCAGTATTTGTGTTGGCTCTGCTTAGATCCAAAACAATGAGGAATGTTTAAACATCTCACTTACTGGGTGGGGGCAGTGGCTTAGTGGTTAGAGTCCCTCTTATTCAAACAGAATGCCACTCTGGGTCTCTGAGCGAGACCCTTAACCCCAGACTGCTCCCCAGGTGCCATGCAGTGGCAGCTCACTGCTCCTCAAGGGGATGGGTTAAATGCAGAGAGTGAATGTATCCATTGTGGGACAATAAAGGGATTTACAGATTTACACATACAGAAGGCTTGGTTTGCACTTCACAGTAAATGTTTATTAAGGATGAACCAGTGTATGGCCATTTGGTGTACTTTGTTTTGGCTGCAGAAGCTGTGAACAAATGCGAGTTTTGTGGGAAAAATCTTTCTCTGTATCACGATAAGATGGTTGAAGTACGGAGACTTTACTAACAGCAGTGCTCAGGCTCTGTTTTTCGAGCCTTGAAACGTCACCATCATAAACTACTGCTGCAATATTTCAACCCCTTGTGTACGAGAGAAACTGCCATGTATGCCTTGAGGCTCCAATTTAAGGAGTAAGGTGTGACTGGTTGATGGTTGCAGCTCTGCAAGATAGAAGATGCTGAGTTCTGCATCTTGCATTGACAGGCTGTTGTTCATATCCTACACAATCTACGTTTTTATTACCTAAAACACAGACTGAAAAACTATAAAGAAGTGCCACCACATGCAGAGCACTTGCAGACCTTAATTTGCATGCCGTGCAATAATCATGTAAAGAGTTGGGACCACTTTTTTTCCTGTTTATAGCTAATTAAATACAAAAAAGAGAGAATTAGAGTGAAAAGTGAAATAAGCCATCTAAAAAAAAAGCTAATTAAAACTACCAAAACAAGATTTGTTATACTAATTGTACTTTTGTAGTTCAATAGAATGCCAAATACAGAAGCACTAAAATCCTTTAGTATCCCATTTAATATGTCTCCATGTTTAGGCTTTAAAATTAAACCCATCCTTTGTTGCTGTGGCATCATCTCCCCAAGAATAGTTTAGAAAAGTCCAACCTTTAATATAGTACATTTAGGTCACATCAGAAATATTCTCAAGTATTAAGGTCAGGGTCAATCTACACTGTTCCAACAGGAACAAGCACAACATCCATATTCCTAAATAAAGACAAACTAGTTTCCCACAGCCTTTGCTAACAAATAGATGCATATATTCAAACATCCGTCTAGATAAAAGGTATATTGGATAAAATTCTTTCAGGTTTGAGTTCTGGAGTGAACATCTTTTCCATCGTCATCCCTTACCTACTTTTATCAATATCATCCTGCATTAAATTGATATTTACAAGTACTAATATCTACATACATTGATAATTTAATAGGTTTTTATTAAAATAGTTATTTACAGTATCTATGATTTCACTGAAGACTCTTAGATGACTTGCAGAGAGACATCATTTTCTGACATATAACACAATCTAGTTCTAAAAGAGCATG